TAAATGTAGACCTCTCGTTTAGCTGTCTTGGGTCGTTAATTTAGAAAAATCGTGAAATATTTTAGTTCTAATCAAATCGCGATCTGTTTAGCTCTAAATGTTCAAGACAGGAAGTACAAATACAATGTGCAATCAGTTTGTTATGAAGATTTTTACTTTTGAGTTTATGAGGCTCTGAATATGCCACTCATTTTTGATCGATTTTGGCTGATTTGGGGCATGGAAACGAAAAAATTGCACAGAAAAATAATTTTTCATTTATCGAACTTAAAACAATATTTTTGTAACTAGTGCCCGTAGGTCTTCATTCTGGGCGAGTTTAAAGAAATTCGATTTTTTCGTTATTTCCAAGTCTAGTTGATATTTAGGTGAAGCTGCTCTTAATTCCTAGACATTTATGCCAAGATGTGCTAGTACTGATCTGGCATGGGAAGGGTTGTCCAATAAATTTGGTCACTGTGGTATAGTTGAAAATGAATTGTAATACCCCAAGAGATACTTATTGGATGAAACTATATGTATCCAGTTAACTACCATTAACCATTGAGTGCCACATTATATTATTTCTAACTTGTGCCAGGTATTTTTTTGCTATAGAATGGGTATCTCTGTTAAAACCTAAACAGATTTCTTTTTTAGCTATTAGAAATTATGTTTGCTCTTTCTGAAAGGCCATTAACAATAATAATAGCAAGAGTGATGAATTGAAATCATTACAATAATTATTATTGTAATGATTTTAATTTGGCACCTGATGTGGGAAAATTAGCACGATGTTCACATTTGCTCCACTATATTATAATAACTCTCTCACATTGTAAATTTGCTCTGAATTGATTGAGAGACAGAAAACTGCTGTGGAACCTTTGATCAGGCTTAGACAAAAACTCAAATAATTCAGCTTTTCCCTAAGGCAAGCTGTCACTTGAGGTTGTTAGCCCAAAACTATGAGGAACTATGTAGCCTGAAATTAACTGTGTGTTGAAAGCAAGACTTTAACAAAAAGTTGTCAGAAGGATGTTATTTTCATTGTGAAGCCAGTCTAGAACATCATGGACCAAAATAAAGACTTACTGGAATGGTGGCACTTGGCAATAAATGTGTGAAAACCTATCAAATCACTCTGGTTTATATTGCTTTCAAATGCTATGTATTGTTCGCATTTATCAATGTTTGCATTCCCTGGTATTCTTACTAATACAAAAGCACCGTGCAAAGAAAGTCCTTTCCAATGAGGCTAGCGAATTTTGCACTTGGGCTTGTGGATAATTGTGTCTTGTGCTTTCCTGACAGGCACCTGAAGATTTTTGGGAAATAATTTTTTTGGGAAATTAAAGGCACTATAGGAGATTAAATTATTGTATCAGTGTAATTAAATTAGTTAAACATACTAATGAGGAATTTGGGGGGCAAGTAAGAACTCTTTCAGGCTAGTTAAGAGCCCATTAACTGATTCATGTGTACGCTTGCAGGGAAAATGTCGCTTCCAGTTACTTGTGTCAGCCCAAGCACAGAAAATTTAAACAATTCAACAACTTACAAATTTGGTACATTTTAAATGTTTTTTCTTTTCTTTTCTAAGAGAAAAACAGAAAAACAAGCACAAAATAAAAATAAAAATAAAAATCCTCTCTGTGTGGCTTTTGTGTGCTTTGTTTGATCCTATCGGTCTGGTAGTGTAAACTCTACAGCTCTGATAGGGTAACTACCAATAGATATCGCAGGCACTTCCGGTTTCCTTAAATACTATTTATAAGGAGATGTGGTTTTTAGTTAAATCCATCTTTTTTCAACAAGTTACAGTTAAGCCAACATTGGAAACAAAGCTATGCATTCCTTTTGTAAAAACACACTTTTTTTTTTTTTAGAAAATTATGAATTTTTCAATATTTTGAAATTCTCTCAAGATCTTACCTTTTAGAAATGAAACAAAATCTATGCATAGCATAATAAAGATTAAAGCTTGGGAGCCTTTACATTTTTTCAGAATTATTAGTCACATGACCATGGTTGTTGCCTGATGATGTCATCACTGGTGTTATGGACCATGAAAATGTTGAGACACATGAAATAACTCTGAACTAACTGAAAATGACAAGGTTATATGAGAATGAATTTTCCTTAGCAACGGCTTAGAAAGATCAGTTAATGGGACCTAAGATCATAGTTACAGCTTGTCTGAAGGGCAAGCCCATAAATTGTTTTTCTTTGTAACCTGTATGGAAGTTTCTTTTGTCAAACAGTGTTAAATATGAAGGTGAATTAATCAACATGACATGAGCGTGGGACAAAGAAAAATTCTGAGTCCCCGACAGGAATCGAACCCATGACCTCCCGAACACNTATCGAAGTCATCATGAGTAGTGATAAGTTAATAAAGATGGTGAATTTTAAGCTCGGTAATGAAATGTGAAGGTGAATTAATCAACATGACACGAGCGATTTGATTCCTGTCAGGGATTTTGAATTTTTCTTTGTCCCACACTCGTGTCATGTTGATTAATTTACCTTCACATCTCATTACCGAACTTAAAATTCACCATCTTTATTAACCGATGACTACTCACGATAACTTTCATAGTGTTGATCCTAGCAGTATGCAGGACACCTGTCATATGTGAACTCAGTTAAATGACCTTGCTCTCCCTGAGTTCTCTTAGCTCAGTGGATAAAGCGCCCGCCCAGTGTTCGGGAGGTTATGGGTTCGATTCCTGTCGGGGACTCAGAATTTTTCTTTGTTCCACACTCGTGTCATGTTGATTAATTCACCTCCATATTTCATTACCGAGCTTAAAATTCAGCATTAAATACCTTCTACAAAGCTGTACAAAGCAATTAACTGATCAGAAGATCAGCTTGTGTTTAGAATGAAAGTTATCTCACTGGTCCTTGATATACTGCATTTATATCATGTTATTTTATTCAAATTTTTGCAAAAATATGCAGCTTGATTTTGGGTCACAATAGCAGTGATAAAACTGACAATTATTTTTCTTTTTAATTCAAGAATTGTTTTAGTATCAGTGTACCAACTGGGGATGGACATCAACAGTTCATACTAAGAGCAAACAGTAATCAGGAGTGCACAGCATGGATTGAAGCTATCATGAAATCCAGGTAACTTAACTAATATGTGTTATCAATCTAAATTATATGTATTCATGGAGGTGGTCTAAACAATTGCCCTCGCATGCTTTAGCAAGAATTTTATGTCTGATAGTGCCATTCTCCACATACAAATATATAGCTGAGAACTGTCAGAAAATTATACTTAACAATATTTTTTCCCTTTTCCACTCTTCTTCTTCAAATATTTTTTATTGTGTTGATCTTTCATTATTGTGGAGCTGCGACGATCCATGTGAATTGAATCTGACCCAGTGTTTGCACAATGTATATAGATAGCCTTCTTTTAGAAAGTAATTTGAAAGCGTATGTCAGGTACATAGCTGGAGACCGAAATCATACATATTCTAAGTGATTTCCTGAGGTGCTCGAGTATCTAGGGGGTCCAGAGGCAGGCCCTTCTTCCAGAAAAAATGATTGAAAGTTTTATGCTGGGGTAGAGTACTATTCTATGTTGTCATTACCAATGCCACCTGTTCAGGTAAATGAGTCCATACTTCTTTAGGCAACTTAGGTATGGTTGGATGTTCTTGCTTGGAAGAATGAAAACTGCTGTACACATTTACTTTGACACATAATCATATAATATAGGTCAGCACAGGCTTTTTGCCAGAATTTGAAACCTGCCCATCCAAAATGTGCTAAAGGGCCTGCTCAAATGGGTAATTTATAAGGCAACATATGAAAAATTATAAAACTGTCAATTTTCTTCAGAAAGTGGCCGTCCACAGGACACCTGGACAACCATCTGGCTAAAAGCCTAGGTCTGCATAGTTTACAAACAAGTGAAACTTCCAAGTCTGCAGAGTAATTATGTCATTTGATACTTGTCCAAGTTGTCCATGGTAACAAAAGAAGAACAATAAAAAATATATTAGTTTGGGACCACATGAAGTGTCAGTAGTTCCGTAATAGCGGGAGTCCTTAATAGATGAGGGAGTTGTTCCCACACATGACTTTGGAGTTTCAGCCAGGGATGTACTGCTTCTGTCCATTATAGTGAGGTGTCCATTATAGCAAAGTGTCTGCAAGGTGAGAGTTGACTGTACACTGAAGAGTGTAAAGGGGTACTCTGACACAACTGGGGAAGTATCTCTGAGATGCCATCAACACACACCCAATGCCCTGTTGCAGCTCAATGTAAAAGAAATTTTACTCAATGTATCATTTTACATATTAAGACAATATTTTACGGTAGCATTATTTTGTGGTTTTGGTATAGTTTTGCTGAGTTACAATCAGAGAAGGAAGAGCTGGAAAAGAAGTACATCCATGTGCTGCAGATTCTGGAGAGCGAGAAGACTGCTAAATGGCAGTTGCTTCAACAGTGTGAGGAGCAGGCAGCATTAGTGTCAAGCCTAAAAACTGAGGTACACCATTTCAACTTAATGTTTCTATAAACTGACCCATGTCAGGTAAGGGATGGTGACTCAAATACAGCTGTTTGTTGAAGAACTGGTGTGAAGCTAAGAAATCAACAGTGATAAGCTGTAGTACTAACAAAAGCCATCAGTGAAAAAAATAAGATTGTAACAATAACATTGCAGTGTACTGAATGGCCAAGTGAATATCAATTATTTTGTTTGTGAATCACATGCTGAAACTTTTGTCCTTAAGTTCTTGTGAGCTTATGCACATGTCTTGTAAAGACATGTGCAGTCTGTTCTGTAGTGAATGATGGTGGTAAGCAGATAGATTATGGGGACACAGAACTTGGTGTTGTTTCGTAATTTGCTAATAATATTATTGTCACCACATTTGAAACACTACACTTTTCTATATCCAGTTGGCAGCATGTCAAGTACATGGTGATTCATCATCAGATTTTTTTATTGCATTGTGATGCTCAGTTTTAACCAGAACTGGCTGGAACTTGTTTAAGGTTACTTCCCACCTTCACGGGTGTCCTTTGGGAAAAAATTCATACGCCCGCCAGTTTCAATGAAACCCCCAACAAACTATATATCAGAAGAAAGCTTAGTACTTAAATGTACTTTACTATAAAAATAAAATTTAAGTGAGTTTTTCTTTTTAAAAGTGTCAGGAGCCAGTAAGGTGTGAAAGGACTAAAGGTTCTTTCTAAGGAATTTATCGGGTATCAGATGCTGCCACACAAGCAAAATGGCTGCACAGTCTTATTTACAAGGCATCAATCAACAAAAGTGTTTTGGACTTTTTTGATATTCTGATTGGTTGTCTAGATATTGGCATCTAAAGTTGGAGTAGCTAAAAATGTGCAAGACGTGTTGCATAAATGGACTCCACAGGATAAATATGTTTAATAAACATCCAAATTTCTCGACACCCTTTCATTTGTCGTTATCCCTGGAATGTTCTGGCAAAATTTCATGGAAATCTGTCAAATCTGCATACCCTATAAATTCGCTCAAAGTGGATGTATTCCTCCAGAAATAGCATGCAAGATTTTAGCTCATAAAGGTTTGTGAACAACTCGTGCCATGCCAGGAGATTATCTCGCCTTATGAAACTGCAAACCAACGGAGCAACAGGACCTCCTAGCATCAATGACAATGGATCAGGATTTCCTGGGAAAAGCGTCACACTGCAACACGTTTTCTATCTCACTGTCACATTGAAGAGAAAGAGACTAAAACAGGCAAAGTAGCCAAAGACAAAAGAATAAATGCATGATATAAACAATATCAAATAACATGATATACGAGCTCCAAGATAAGCGTTTGCTGCCAAAATTTCCCCCCCCGGCAGAACCATCTGTTCAAGTGATTATGACACCTTTCTGGTTTATTAACATTATTTGAAAATACGTTTGTTTCTAAATAATTTGGCCCCTTTTGAGATTTTCAATATTTTTGTTTTGTAAAGTTAAGATAAAATGACTGACTTAAATTTTGTCAAATAAAAGAAAAACAATTTTTCTGTGCCGTTGAAGGTGGGAAGTAACTTTCAACTTGCAACTGAAGATACATGTACTTTCACTCACTCTCAGTCTTTCTCTGACTCCATGTTGACATATTTGTGAAAACTAAACTGGTCAGTAAATTAGTAATTCACTGAACACTTCAAATTACATTGTAGATGTTTTCCCACTTTTCTTGCTCTCATTGGCCAATGGTACTTCACTTGAACCAGTTGAAACAGAAATAATAAATAGCTATCAAAACGTTTACAGAGATCAGAGCAAGCTTGCTTTCACTTGCCTCATTCAGCTCATGCCACTCACCCAGCCATTCTTGCTTTATTGTCCACTGTCTTCTTGTGGCATAACTTTTGTGTATAACCCAAACATGAACTTGTTTGCAGGCTATGTTGCACATTACAATAAAATATTGGCTTATGCTTTGCATATATGTTACTAACAAGGCACATGCAAATTACTTCAAATGTTATTTATATATACTAGTGGTTTTCTTGTTTGTGATAATGTACTATTTATAGCAATAATGTCAGTGTGGGGGTCATTGTTTTATTTTCTTGCTTTGAATCTGACTTGTAGTGGACAAAGTGTCATTGTGCAAATACTTAATTGAAAACCTTTATCTGTACAGGTTGCAAGTCTTCGAAAGCAGAAGACAGTTGAGGCACAAGAGGAAGAAAGTGAGGAAATAAAACATATTAAAAAGGTAATCAATCTACTTACATGTACTCTATATGTGGTTTTAAATGCACTGTCCCTTAAACAAGTATAATTTTATGAACCTATAACATTTCAGCCCAGTAGCAAAAAGATTAGTTCTTAAATCCTAATCCAAGATTCAAGGGTGAAACATTCCATGTATCATTGCATGTAACACAATTACTGCTCCTGATTCGACATTGTACTTAGGACATCATGCTTCATGTACCTTGCAATAATTATTGTTACATGCAGCATTTTCAGGGTGGTTATAGAGCAACGTAGAAATTTGGTACAAGTTCCATGCAATGATACACTCAACTGTATGTCCAGATCTTTTAACTCTACAGAATTTATTCATAAAACCTTTCTTTGCAACTATAAATTAAAACCTTTTTCAAGTTTGTTTGTGTTTGTTTGTGGTACATTATAACTACAGGTGTTAAAGCTACTAAGTGAAGTCAAATCAAATTTTGGACTAGAATGAAATCACAAATTTGATAAAATCTAAATAAATATGAATAATCATAGTACCAACATTGTAGCAGCTATTTCTGCCGAGGCTAACAAAGTAACAAAGATCAACTTATTTGCCAGTAAAAAATAAAGCATGATAACTTGATAAACAATAATAGAAGTCACTTGTTAACAGGTTCAAAGTCTCATTCGAGGCTGGCTTTGTCGTCGCCGCTGGCACAGTATAGTGCAAAATTACATCCGGTCACCTCATGCAGAGAGCATGCGTCAGAGGAACTCAATTTGCTTTCAACTGGTGGAAACAGAGAATGAATATGTGCAAAACCTCTCTACACTTGTGTCATGTTTCTACAGGCCTTTCAAAATGGCTGCTAGCTCGAAGAGGCCTCCGTTAAGCCATGAAGAAGTCAATTGTATCTTTCTAAATAGGTATTGTACTAAACCTGAAATTAAATTTTTTCTCAATTTAACTAAATGTCAAACAAGACCAGCCTGAGGTCATAAGAATGTCAAGAAAATACTCTCACATAACTTTATAAATTATAACCCTGTTGAGTCAATACCTTAGATACCAACTGTTAGCTAGAATAACCATCTAAATCTCCTGTACACAAACTAATGGTGGCTGTTACAGCTTTTCCATAAATTAAAGTACAGGTACAATTCGTTAGTCAATAAACTTTTCTGCTGACATATTGTATTATATGCAAAAATTCTGCATTCAAGATCCTCCTTGAAATTAATGCCGTTAAAAACATTTAGTGTTTAACCCAACACTCCACATTGAAATTCATTTGTGAACCACCTCTATCTTATTATTTAATGAACATAAAATTAATCTTTTGTCTTTGTGATAGTTTTAACAAAATACTGAAATTCTGATGAAATGAAATTCTGGAGATCAATGTTTAACAGTAAATTTATGTAAAAACTTTAAATGGATCCAGCACATATCTTAGTCACTAATTCTAAATCTAATCCTTAACTCCTTTAAAAGATAGCGTAAAATAAAAGCAATAATGTTTTACTAGACAAATTAGTGCTTGCATATGATCAAGTTTATATCTTTATGTATTTTGATTGCAGTGAAACAATTCTTTTCTTGCATCAAATCTTTCTCCAAGGACTTCAAAACCGAATGGAAAGTTGGCCAACCTTGATTTTAGGTGAGCAGTGATTAAATTGAATGAATGGTGCTAAATGTAGCAAGAGGTGTTGACCGTAAACCAAGAGTTTTTTCAATGTTGCTGATTCTGATTTTTCTTTCAATCATGTTAGTTGTAGGATCTAAATGATGAGTTTTGTTTATTCTCATCACCTGAAAACGTTTGTTGATATGTTAAGGACGTTCACGCTTATATTGTTTCTGTGCATCCTTACTGCGCACGCAAATTCACACGCCACGTCATGCATGAGCGCGCGCGCTAAGTGATAAAATGAACAATGATAGGGCAGATGGCCATTGCTATAGCTTTTCCTGGATTTAACGATCTTGAACCTTCGGTGACCCCTATTTTTCTTTTGATGGATCCTTCTCTCCACCGATTTTCTACGTTTAGCGAAAAAATGAAGAAAATCTATCGACTAGAAGTTTCAATTTTTTGCAAAATGCGCCATCAAATTCCGTTATTTTTAGCTCTTCGTTTATCTGTGCGAGGGTATCAAATGCCTCTTGAAGGGTTAAGTTTTGTGAAAACGTTGGTAACGTTTGGAATTACTTACACAACAGACCCACTTCTACAAAAAATGACTAAGATCGTTTGTCTCCCCGGGTTGACTCACCTTCGATATTTCGTATACTAGAAACCCCTGTACACCATGCTGAATTACGTGCGCCAATTTTTCAAAATCAGGGTAGTTTTCCACACGCTTTATCTCTGAAACGAAGTCGGTGACCCCCAATTTTTTTTTTTTTTTTGCATTTCTGACGCAAGTAACTCATTATCTGACTGTAGTGAAAATTTAAAAAAATCTATCGACTGGAAAATTTTCGCGCGAACGTCCTTAAGGAGAAATTAGACTAGATCTGTGGTCTTAATTAAGAGAAGTGAAGTTTTTTCAACAGTACTTCATGAATGATTTGGCTACTCTACTCAATCCAAGTCGATTTAACAAATACATCTTGTGGAACCACTGAGCCATTCGAAAACAGGTTTTGGAACCCATACCAACGAATCTGTCGCTACAACGAACTATTTTTTTGTGCTCCCAGTCACAAATTACTGTGTTGTAAGTTAACACGATACAGCGGAAATTGAATTGAGCCCTACCTGTTTGCAGACTCCCTAGTGGGGTATAGGGCGAAAAAAAGCGACCAACAGAACCAGCTGAGTGCGGTCTGGTGTCTGAAAAAAAAAAAATAAAAAACAGTATGGCAACCAAGGCGACTCAAAAGCTGGCATATCATTGTTTTTATCACTCAAGGAGAGAATTAAATACCGGAGAAAAGTTAGGAATATCAAGGATAATAACCCAATGGAGCGAACTGGATACTCTTTTCAACCAGTTAAAGCGGGGTTTTTAAATGCGTCTAACCCAACTTATATGATTATTAATTTTCGTCAGATAGCTGTGGTTCCGCAGGCCCCACAGTGTTATGGCGAAAATTAAATATTAGGACAGATACAAGAAAAGCTTATTTAAAGAGTTTTTTTCACTGCCAAGTTGAGATGGACATTTGATACATAGCCTTGGTGAAGGGCCCTTCAGCAGTTTTTTGATGTCCTCGGCTAGGCTTGATGATACACACTCGCCAATGAGCGTGCCAAAAATTGGACATTTATCATAAAGTAAATGATGAGCGACTTGGCAAACGCATATTGGTTACAATTAGACAGAAGATACGGCGTGTGATGTGGCAATTATTTCCCCTTTGAACAGGTGACTTGTTTGATATGCTGCTGCCAATGTTGAACATTTACCAAGAGTACGTAAGGAATCATCACTATTCCCTACAGGTAAAGAATACAGTTTATTGCTATCTGTACTTATATTAACCGCCTTGGTGCCATCTTGCAGATGGACCATCGCAGAATATCCGCCACAGATGCTTGGCCATCATCTGTGTTATGATTTAATTTGATATTCCTTGGCTATTCTAATTTGTTGGCACTGCCAAACCACCGTTTTAATTTGCCCTCGTTTACTTCCATTACTACGCGAAAGAGAGGAAGAGTTCAAGAAAAGAAAATCCGAGTTCGTCGCTTTAAAGATTCGTTTTGCGTAATATTTTCCGTTCTTAGCTGCTTTGTTACTGTCTTCCGTCAGTCATTTGCATTAATTTCAATTTTCTCGCTGTATAGTCTTCTCTTCAAGGCAAAAAATCACTTTGTTTTTCGTTTCTTTTGTTGAATCACATTTGCACGTTGTGTTTTATCTTTGGATATCACCTTCATTTTAAATTGATAAACTCTATTTAAAATCAGTTTCAGAGACTAGACAATGCAGCTGATTTACTCCGTCTGCTTTTGTAGTTTTATTATCGGTTAATAACGAGTTTCAAAAAGACATCATGACATGTCTTTTTACAAATAAATATAAAATGATAACAAGGAGCTCGGTAGTCTGCTCCAGGCTCCTGGAACTGACTTCAGCGTTCCACCGCTGATTCGATTTTTACGCCTGGCTGACGTTCACTGAATTGCGTGGAATAGCAGCAATTCTAGCAAACTGGCTCGACTAACTATAACGACGGCTGTAAGGCTTGTTTTTTCACGGACGAGTTCACCTGAATCACGATCCTCAGAATTAACTGGTCACTCATCAAAATCAATAAATTATGGACAAGGGCCTGGTTTAAGTTGCTTTCAAGAGTCGTGGATTATGTTCCATGCATAGCCCTTTTATCGTATTGCTACCCCTCCTCGATGGGTTGTTATTCTATCGCAAATTGCCCCTCCAGATTTAGACCGATTTAGTTACTACGAGACTCGTATGAGGTTAAAGTGTCTTGCCCAAGACACTAGCTGGCTAGCTTCGAACCCCTCCAGTCCAACGCGATACTGTAACTATTAAGGTCGGTACACGCTAGGGAACATGTTGCGGGGACATGAAGCAGCGTTAGTTTTCCTCGTGTGACATTTTCTCGTTGTCGCATCTTTCTACCTCTTCTTTTCTTTATTTTTCCTACAACCGATTTAAAGCGTAATAATTCTTGTAACTACTCGGCTCGTTTAGTTTTTACTATTTTGAGTAGTTTTTTTGCTTATTTAAGTTTAATGTATTCTTTTGCTGTATGATATTCTCTGTATTATGCAAAATAAAATGGTTGTTGTTGTTGTGTACTGCTCTTGCAAACATCCGCTTCGTGTCCACCAGCTTGCGTTCTGTCCCTGCAACATGTGGCAGCGTCCTATGTGTACACAGGAAAGGGCATAGTCACCAGTGTGTACCAACCTTCAACTGTGTCGCCGTCTTTCCCTACTGTGTTAGGACTGAAATACTGTTTTACAAGTGGTGGTTTTAAGTTTTTAATTTTCATTTTGCAGACTTTGGCGGAGTGCAAACAACGGCCAGCATTTAGCCGACTTCTTAAGTTGTATGAAGAAAAAGCAGTGTGTTGTGGACGGACAATAGAGAACTACCTGACGGCTCCAATGCATCGGGTTAGTAGCCAGGAAACCGTACAACACTTTCCAACACTATCGAACGCGTCCAATCCACTAATACCCGCTGCTAGGAACACACAGCATTCTTTGTAACAGAAATTCTTAACTTTATTGAGTTATTTTTTTGTAAAAAAACTACTTCTTAGTCGGCGCGTCGGGTATATTATGGACGGGTCAGTGGATGAGTGAGTGAGTGAGAGATGTATGTATGTCACACCAATCAGATTGGATCTACTATAAACAGCCAATCAAATTTCTTGTTGTAAAGGTAAATGGTATGCGAGAAGATTTTTTGATCCCGATAAAGTTCAGAACGGCCATATTTATTCTTCTATAGAAGAGGAGGAAGTATTCATATATTGGGTTTACTTCGACATTTTCTTTGGGTTAGGGTGAAGATTTTAGTTAAATGAACGAGATGAGCCGTGAGGTTTGAAACAGTTCGTGAGCTAGTAGTATGCAAATGCAACGAGATATTTTTATTTTTAGTTACAAAGGTAACTTGATACTTTTGTTTTTCACAAGGAG